ATGATTTATTAGATATTGAAGGAGAAAATATTGGTAAACCAATAGCACTTGATATAAAAAATAATACAGTAACTTATATATCAATATTAGGTATTGAAGGTACTCGACAACGTTTAAAAGAATTTCATCAAAAAACATTAAATTTAATTAATGAATGTTGGCCATCAAATGCTGGAACAATTAAAGATGTTGTTAATTATATTGTTAATAGAAAAAATTAAGAAAAAACAATATGTATATATTCATATATCTTTCTTTTTTCTTTTTTACATTTTAATCACCTATAATAAATATAAACTTGTTTTTTTTTTACTAAAAGAAGGAAATATTAAAAAAAATGTTACGTGTTAGTTCTATCTTCTTTGTTTCAATCGTTTTGTAATATATGATAATATTCATTTGACAAGTGTTTGTCGAGATTAGATACAACTGTCAAACATACATAATAACTTCCTATTATCAAACTTTAAAAGATATGGTATAATAAATCAATATAAAGTTACATTGTAGAAATACTTTCTCAATTATTTTATAGCTAAGCTTTTAATTGATAAACTAAAGATCAATAAAAATGTTTATCTTTTGTATTTTTTTAATTTCAACTAATTATTTTAGTAAGCATATAGAGTTTTATAAGCCATATTTTTTCGATTATGAAAAATTCAAATGTGTTAGATACAATTATTTCATCATTAGGATTGAAATTTTTACTTTATCATATTGATAAAACTATGACAATAATTTTTCTTAATTATAGAGCTTTTTTTTTTTTTTTGTCACATAAATAAACATTGTCTTTGGTTTTTAGTTATTGATTTGAATGTTTTGTTGTTTTTGTCACTATATTTATATAGAAAAATTTAAAGAAGACGAACGTCGATGCCGGATTTCCCAAAGCACGAAGTGCTCTAGTCAATAATTTTATTTTCCAAATTGACTGCGAACATTCGCGCTCAGTGATTGTTACCGGTAAACATATCTTTAATGTTATCACCTCTTGTATGTTTATTCAAAGTACATACTCACATATTATCATTACTCATAATTTTGTTTAAAATAATCATTCATCAAACTATATACCATTTTTTTTGATTCATTGTTCAAGATATATTAAATAATTGTTGAAAAAGATATTCTGATCCAAAAAAAATCTTCAAGCATATGACACATTGAAGTCGATGAAGCTAATCAAATCGTGAAAATGTATATCAACGAAAAGAAAAAAAAAAAAAAAAGAAACTAAGAGTCCGTTGGATGGATGTCCCATCGTCGATGTGTCTCTTTTTCTTTTCGCGATGTACGTGGGCATATAATTGCATTAATTCATATCGCTTCTTTTCTTTCTGTCTCTCTTTTTCGCTCTACGACATTTCACCTTTTTCGTCGATGTGTGTCTCTCTCTCTCTCTCTTGTCCTCTATTGTATGAAAAAATGTCGCCTCAAGCTATAAGTAAAGAAAAGACGACTGACTGACCAAAACGTTTTTAAAGTGAATAAATGGTCAATAACTCTCTGTATTCATCAATGCATTAAACAATAAAAAAAGAATGCCTTAAGACAGTTCTTTTTTTTTTTTTTTGTTTGACTGGTCATTAGAGCAATGACAATAAATATATCTTTTCAAAAGACCGACGACATTTTTCTCTCATTCTTGCTCTACTTATATACTATTGCTATCGAATCATTTTTTTTTTCGAACACAAAAAAAAATAAAATAAAATAATGTAAAGAGTCGCCGAAAAAGAGAAAAAAACATAAAATCCGTCTCGCAATTTTTTTTTTCATCAATCCAAAGAGCAAACATACGCACACGCACAACGAAATAGACTACTTACCATCATCATCAGATGAAAAAGAAAAAAAAGAAAAGAAAGGCATGTCATGAGCACTATTACGGGTGTTGGTTTGCGTTGTCAAATGATGTCTCTCTTCTTTTTCTTCTCTATTTACCATTCATATATATTTTTTTTTCTTCTTTCTCTCTATCTTACTCGTTCGTTGATGGTCAAATGTTTGCTTAGACAGGTAGTCACATGAAGTAGCTTACCTGGCCCAATTTTGTCGTCGTTGTCAAAGCCTTACAATAGTGCGTGCTCACACACACCAAACATTCGTACATATAAGAGGCCTACTCCTGTTTCAGCAACAACATACACGAGTGCAAATAAAGCAATATATTTGCGTGTACATCGAAAATTGACCACTGGATCACATATGTATAAAATATATATATATATCGATGGTGTCTGTTTGTCTGTCTACTCTTATCGATGGAGACGATGTACAAAAAAAAACGTTTGTAAGCAATATCGAAAACAGGCAACGATAGTGGAAACAAAGAGAACGAGAGAGAGAGAGAAAAAGATGAATAAAGTATGGCTGTAAGCCGTTTTCTTCATTGCTTTGACTTTATCGCGACGACAACGACGGAAGAAAAATCATGCATTTTTTTTTCACTCCTTTTTCGTTTATGATTGTTTCTATCATCATTCTTATGTTGATTCAAATCCTATTTTAAAAGTAAAAAGAAGAAAAAAAAAAAGAAAAGAAACGACAAGAGATCGAAACCTATAACAATAATCGTTTATAGAATATAATTTTTGTTAATGTTGATGCGTAGGATAAAGATTGTTTTATTTTAAACATGACAAATTTTGAACAGCAGGAGGGTTTTTTGTAAAAAAAATAGTAAAATTTCTATCGTTTTCAAAAATTACTTTCAAATGAAAGAAAATTAATAACATCTTGTAAATAATGAATCGACGAGAACAACGTAGACGACCAAATACAGTAACACGAACATATCCAATTTATACTATACCTTCATCAGAATTAAGTGATGATGATGATAATGAAAGTATCATTGAAATAAAACCTATCAAACGATATCGACATCATCGAAAGCAACCATTAAGAATCGAACAACAAAAACCAATTATACCATCTGTTGTTACCGGTAAAAATAGAGATTGATAAATTAAAGTAGTAAATACATTTTATCAAAACAATTATTTTATTGGATCAACTAAAATTTTTAAACAAAACAAAAATAATAATAATAATAATAATTTAATTTAGATAATTACAAATCACAATTAATACAAGTCAAACCAAAACGAAAACAACAATCAGCAACAATACAAACAGATGAGATACCTACTATTTTATCAGCAACAGAAAAGAATGAAGAATCATCGGTTAGCAATCGAAATTTTTGCTTTGATGTCTTTCTTATCTTAGTAAAAATTATTAAGAATATAAAATACTTATTCATTATCGATATACAAAAAAAAAGACAAATTCATTTGAGATCAAAATATAAGCATATTTTATCTGTTGATAATAATATTTACAGTTGAAATTATCATGTATTAAAAGTTATTTTAAATCCATATCTAATCATAGTTGAATTTCATTCGATTAAAATATTTTTTAAATTACTTATATAATACACATACTAGTTGATTATTATAAAACTCTCATCGATAGAGTACTATCTTATGTATACGATTGCAACTATTAAAATCGTCTCTCTATTTATTTTGCACTCGCTTATTTAATATTGGTTGTAAACTCTTCAAATTCTGTCTCTTTGCGATAAGTGACTATTAAATATGATAAGAGATTTTCTTTTTTTCAATATCAATCCTAAAAAGACAAATCTGTTATAGCTGACTCTCTTATCCC